GCCCTTTGTGGTGCGTGGTGCCCTTTGTGGTGCGTGGTGCCCTTTGTGGTGCGTGGTGCCCTTTGTGGTGCGTGGCGCCCTTTGTGGTGCGTGGTGCCCTTTGTGGTGCGTGGCGCCCTTTGTGGTGAGTGGTGCCCCTTGTGGTGCGTGGTGCCCTTTGTGGTGCGTGGCGCCCTTTGTGGTGCGTGGTGTCCTTTGTGGTGCGTGGTGCCCTCTGTGGTGCATGGTGCCCTTTGTGGTGCGTGGTGCCCTTTGTGGTGTGTGGCGCCCTTTGTGGTGTGTGGCGCCCTTTGTACTTCCTGGTGGAGTTTATGTTGTACTGTACGTGTCCTTTTCATTGCGTACCTGATGTCGTCTGTTTTACACAGCGAAGCCAAACTTTAATAATTAATTTATTAATGAAATATGCTATTTTTATGTTGTACGAAGAAAGAAAATAATATAGAAATAAATAAAATATAATAAATAATATATAATGATTTTAAATAGCACTGTTAACTATTATAAATAGCAACAATAATAAAATAAGGTAACCTGTACCCCAGGACCCCGGCTCGGCCATCCCTAAGGGCACGCTGCTGGCCATCGGCATCACCTTCTGCACGTACCTCCTGTACCCCGTGTTCCTGGCCGCCTCTGGAGTTCCTGGACTTCGTCACCAACGACACGGGTTACCTGGCGGGGAACAAGAGCGTCCTGGACGCCCCCAGCTTCACGGGGGCGTCCTGCTCCATCCTGGGGGACGGCGTCCCGCATCCCGACAACCTCACTCAGTGCAAATATGGCCTCATGAACAACTTCCAGGTGAGGGGCACTCGCGGGGCCGTGGGTGAAGTGTTGGTGGTCTTCATAGTCACCCTCTGAGCCGTCCTCATAGTCACCCTCTGAGCCGTCCTCATAGTCACCCTCTGAGCCATGCCTGGTGTGGCTCAGGAGGCACATGTGCCCAAACAGTCGGAGCATGGAAATGGTAAGCTAGGGGACATGTTATGGCTAAAAAGGCCATTTCCTGCTGAGAACAGCTTCTTGAAAAGAAAGATGTGGATGGCTGTGAGAAATAAGGCTGGGGTAGTGGGGATAAGTGGACATCCTTCAGAAGCACCCAATCCTTAATGTGTGGGACGTTGTACATTAGCTTTAGCTACAGTGGCCTTACCGTGGCTGGGTGGAGGGAGGAAAGCGAACGTAGGCTGGTCTGGAACTAAACACTAAAGATGATACACTAAACAGCAACTGGATGTAAAATGGCGAGTCAATGTGACTTATTGTGTTGGTAAACGGTTAGTTCCAGTCAGTTAGTTTTTCTCTTTTGTGGCTGAAACAAGAGGGTGGTGGTTCTTGGGGAGCTGGCGAAAAAACTGTAAACCTGCAACCACCAGACAGGCAGACAGGGAATGAACGAGAGCTCAGCATAGATTTGGTCGATTGAAGTTATTTTGTGACAAGCAGCAAGTGGGCGAGGCTGTGCACCAGCCGAGTCCCAGGCCTTTTGTGTCCGAATATTGGCGCCTAAACACACTTAAACACCCTTGATCCAAGGCCGTAATCTCTTCATCAATAATATTCTGCCGATCACGCACTTAAACGAAAATTTTCCACAAATCCCCCCACCTCACTAACCTTCTCGGTCACCGGGCCTTGGTGCTGGACTGTGTTAACCTGTTCGCCTGCGTCAGGTAATGGAGCTTGTCTCCGCCTGGGGCCCCTTGATCTATGCCGGCTGCTTCGCTGCGACGCTCTCGTCGGCCATCGCGTCCCTGGTGGGGGCGCCGCGGGTGCTGCAGGCCCTCGCCAAGGACCGCCTCTACCCCGGCATCTTCATGTTCAGCAAAGGCTTTGGGGCGAATAACGACCCCGTCAACGGCTACTGCTTGGTCTTCATGTTGTCCCTGGGCTGCATCATGATCGGTACGGCCGCTGCTGCAGATAAGCTGCATGGTTTATCTTCTATTGATGGCTCATTCAAATTATAGTTTCTGCAGGCTTCGTAAGGATCGAATTGTTGAGAAGTCGAATTCAAAAAAAGTATTTGGGCAACATTTGCTCCTACTTTCTCGTTTCCTGTAGCGAGCTTAAGATGTTACCGAACTCATTAGTTTCTACAGGCTTCGTAACTATCGAACTATTGAGGAGTTTAAATTAATAAACAAGTATTTGGACAACATTAGCTCCTAGTTTCTTGTTTCCCTGTACAATCTTAAGATGTTACCGAACTCCTAACAATATATGATCTCTTGCAGCCTTAAAAAGACTAAGAGTTTAATATTTTCACTTGTTGTTGACATCGTGCAGGGGATTTGAACGCCGTGTCGACCCTGCTGAGTAACTTCTTCCTGGCGTCCTACAGTCTCATCAACTTCTCTTGCTTCCACGCCTCCATCATCAAGAGTCCGGGCTGGAGACCGGCCTTCAAGGTGCGTGTCATTTGCCCGCCGCAGCTAAACATAACATAACATAAACATCGTATATTTCATTGTTTTGTTCTGGATACGACGCAAGCAACTGTCTCTGAAAAGGAACTTCATATTTTTCGACGCAATACAAATCTTATATGCAGACACGACCACTAACCATTCACTACCATTGCAGTACTACAACCACTACGTGAGTCTGGCAGGAGGCCTCATGTGCCTGGTGGTGATGTTCCTCATCGACTACGTGACGGCTCTCATCACCTTCCTCGTCACCATCGGGCTCTACATGTTCGTCTCCTACAGGAAGCCTGGTGAGTGCACGTCCTGTCCCTATCTCCGTCTCGTATCATACAGGAACCCTAGTGCCTGCATGTCCTGTCCCTATCTTCGTGTCGTCTCCTACAGGAACCCTAGTGCCTGCATGTCCTGTCCCTATCTTCGTGTCGTCTCCTACAGGAACCCTAGTGCCTGCATGTCCTGTCCCTATCTTCGTGTCGTCTCCTACAGGAACCCTAGTGCCTGCATGTCCTGTCCCTATCTTCGTGTCGTCNCGCGTGGTCTGGTGCCATCGTGTCCACAATAAGCGCGTGGTCTGGTGCCATCGTGTCCACAATAAGCGCGTGGTCTGGTGCCATCATGTCCACAATAAGCGCGTGGTCTGGTGCCATCATGTCCACAATAAGCGCGTGGTCTGGTGCCATCATGTCCACAATAAGCGCGTGGTCTGTATTGTAAGCCAAGCGCGTGGTCTGTATGTATTCATCAAGAGCTTTATTCAACAAGAACGCAACATCCTGGAACAAAATAACACTAATATAAACAAGAAAAACGGTAACGTCATGGGAATATATTCATATATGAAGGTCTTACACATACAGAAAATATTTACATAATACTTACAAGGAGAACAGTAGTTCTAGGTCTTGAACGTTCAAGAGCCGAGTCAATGCTAACAATAGTCACTAGTTCTAGAGCGAAGTAACTCACTCGTATGAACTATAGTACGGAATACTATGCACATGTGGGCGCTAGAACAGAAACTTCACAGTTTGATGTACTCTTCACCTCACCCTCGTGTCGCGTACAACCCCTCGATCGTTCACCCTCGTGAACGTACAAGAGCCGAGTCAATGCTAACAATAGTCACTAGTTCTAGAGCGAAGTAACTCACTCGTATTAACTATAGTACCGTACGGAATACAATGTACACGTGGACGCTATAACAGAAACTCCACCACAGTTTGATGTACTCTTGACCACGTCCTGGTGTCGCAGACCGTGGACTGGAGGCAGCGGTCTGCGCTGGTGGCCCGCCACAACAATTGGCTCAAGCGCCACAAGATCCGGTCCTTCTACAGCCTCGTCCAGTCCCCGGACCTGGAGACCGGCGCCCTCAGCTTCTTCCAGGTGCCTTCATGCTGCACCTGCTGCACCTGCTGCACCTGCTGCACTTGTGCTGCACCTGCTGCACTTGTGCTGCACCTGCTGCACCTGCTGCACCTGCTGCACTTGCTGCACTTGTGCTGCATCTGCTGCACTTGTGCTGCCCTGCTGTACTTGTGCTGCATGTGTTGCACTTGTGCTGCACGCTATATTCTCTCTAGTTTTTTCTGTCATAGTTTCCAAAGAAATTTAGTGATGAATCTTTGAAATTTTAACCAAAACGTTACCTTTGACTGCTGCATATGTTCACATAAATTGTTGGGCTACATCTGAAAACAACTACAGCTTGCGGGTTAGATGACAAACACAGAAGTAGAATGTTTCGTTGTAGGAATTGAACTAATAAATATGTAGTAATGAATATGTAGGAAGTAAGCGAAGGTTCTAAACTGTGCAGTTGGTGGGTCTAAGTAAACTGAAGCCCAACATGGTGCTGCTGGGCTACAAGAGCAACTGGAACAACTGCAGCAACGACGAACTTGTAGCATACTTCAACACGCTGCAGTGAGTTATACTTCAACACGCTGCAGTGAGTTATACTTCAACGCGTTGCATTAAGTTATGCCGTATGATCTCTTAATGTAATCAATATCATCATAATTTTTCCCGTCACCTCCACCATCCTCGTCATCACTCGCAAAAACTCGTCTCTCTTACTGTCACCACTAACATCACCACCTGTCACCACTAACATCACCACCTGTCACCACTAACATCACCCCCTGTCACCACTAACATCACCACCTGTCACCACTAACATCACCCCCTGTCACCACTAACATCACCACCTGTCACCACTAACATCACCCCCTGTCACCACTAACATCACCACCTGTCACCACTAACATCACCCCCTGTCACCACTAACATCACCACCTGTCACCACTAACATCACCCCCTGTCACCACTAACATCACCACCTGTCACCACTAACATCACCCCCTGTCACCACTAAC